ACCTAGCCCATATATTAAAACCAATTAGTTTAAGACCAATAGACATTAGACTCATTAGACCAATAGAATTCCAATAGGCCATTACAATAATTTTTTTGATTAGACTATGTCTATTCACATCCCTGCCCCTACAAATTCTATTATTGATTAATGTTTTAGCCATTTCAGGAGTATATCCCTTTTGACACCAAATTCGTACAAAGTGACTTTCAAATCTGTACAAAAGAACATTGTAATTTAAATCGTGATATCTCGTGATCTAATAATCTGATTTGGATAATTTTGGTACCATTCGAATAGACTTATCGAGAGGCCAAATCAAATTACTAGATCACAAGATCTCACGATTTAATCAATTTAAATTACAGTGTCCTTTTGTACGAATTTAGAGGGAGTTATCCAGGGCGTCCCCAAAGTGCCAGTGACGTAATCATGGCGCAACTACAGTATATAATATTGAATCTACAAAAAATGCGCGGCATATCCTCGATTTTGATTGGCTAACGGCCGAGGATTTTCAAAATTTTGGCCCGCATTACATAATTGCTTACTAATTTCCGGCTGGAATTGACTTTTTAATTTTTTTATTACAAAAATAGAAATTTTTTAAAAATAAGCCCGCATTATGGTAAAATTGACCCAGGAGCAATTTTCACTTAATGGGCGGCTGCAATTTCATTAATTTTTTGATCGTCGCTTTTAGACAATCAAAATCGAGGATCTGCCTCGTGGCAGCAATATTTGAATTACGAAACAATTGATATCTAAAAAAAGTGAGCAGCGTCGCTGGCACTTTGGGGCCGACCTGGCTAACTCGAATTTAGAGGTGGGTTAGTCATGCCATAAAAATGTCGCGGTCTCGTGATCACCGATATCTTCCGACCCGAAATTTTTTAAAATTACGTAATACCGTATACTTCAGCACCCCTCGGAGCAATTTTTATAGCCAAAATTCTCGTGATCTAATAATCGGATCTGTATAATTTTGGTACCATTTGAATCGGTTTGGCAAGCTGATTTGAATGGTACCAAAATTACATAGATCCGATTATTAGATCACGAGAATTTTGGCTATAAAAATTGCCCCGAGGGGTGCTTAATTTCGGAAGTATACGGTAATTTAACTTTAGTATTTTAAATGTTGAATTATTGGGTCGGAAGAGATCGTGACCACAAGACCGCGACATTTTTATGGCACACCTCGAATTTAGTGTCAAAAGGGATAATAGGTATTATGCCTTATAATAATGCGTCATTATTATTAGTTTACTAAATTTGCGTGTTATTTCTTTTATGTATAGAAAGTTTATTTTTGATCGATTTAAAGAAACAAAACTATTTATAAATTAGGTTATTTATATTAGATAATTGTGCTTCTAGAAGAATCACAATTCAATTGTCTGACTCCTGTAATAGATTTCTTTATACAAATAATTTTGTTTAAATGAATGAGTGATTCGTTTATCTTGGCTCCAGGCGCTTAAAGTTGCACAAACTGAAATTAATTTTCGGAGATTAGTTTCAAGCTGGGGTATCCAGCTCAAAAACATATCATGATAACCAAAAAACTAAATTCAATAAATTTTATCCTACGTGTGGTTACTACGATATCATTAGTTTATTTTAAATGCCAGAGACACTTTACTTTATGCAACTTCAGAGTTAACTTCAACATGCATGAATATACACTGAATAAATCGATAAATAAAATTATTCATAATAATATAATTATTACTTTTCAGAACTAGCATACAAGGATACTTCTCGAAGTTGAGGAAAAAGTTGATCATTTTACTCTAATCGATGGTGAATTTCTGATGTAATCAAAAATTTAGAATTAAGTGATATCAAAATTGGTTAAAATAGCTTCGTTATCAATAAACAATTTGAACAGAAAATATTAATGTCTTATCTTTTTCAGTGGATTGCATATTGGTGAACACTATCAGTTAGTGATTCTAAATCGAGGTATTTAAAAAAATCTTTGATAATCGAACAAGGCTCCTCAACTGTTATATCCTGACATCCCAATTAGTATATTTTGCAACTTGTTTTATTACAGTGGTAGCCATCATTGTTTATTGTATTTTTAATCAATTTCTTGATTAGATGCTTTGTGATATTTCGAAGTCTTATTAGCCTGGTTAAGTTTTGTTGGGTAACGCGCGTTCAATAATAGTATAACTAGTTATGCTTATCCAACTGAAAAATCCTATTCTTCGATAACCCCAACTTTAATTAATTTAAAGGTATTAGAAATCTAATATTTAAAGCTTAGAATTTTGGGTTAACTTGAAGAATTTTGTAAAAAGCTAGACAGCGATCATAATTGAACGATATATTGTATGCTTTCCATTTTCTCAGCTATTTCACATAGTAGACAATAATTTCTTCAAAGGTTTGAAGCGGAAAAAATGGAAAACTAATAAAATATTCGAAATCATTTGTAAGAAATAATAAAAATACTGTAATTAAAAATACTTTTTATATTCAAAAAAAACAAACTTAAATGCTAAATTTTATTGTCGTATATTACCGAATCAAAGCAACCTTTCTGATTTGGAACCAAAAATTTCAATAATTAGATCAGAATAGAGGCAACCTCTTCACTTTAGTCTGAAAAGGTTCTTTTTTTTATCATATAACGATAACATTACCAATACTAGATACATAATACGTAGTAAGGAAGGTTGAAGAATGAGCGCATCACACGTGCCACACCTAGTACAGAACCTATAAATATCAATTAGGACCCCAAGTCCCGCAGTTTATTATCAAACATCCTAAAAATACTAAAAATGATTCCACGTCAATCAAGAAAAATATCCTTTTATGAGGAATATGTTGAATATGTTCAAACAATACCAGTAGAATTTCATAAATGGATGCTAATCATTAACTACATGCTTGTATTAGTGATTTTCGTGATTTTTACTGGCTTTGGTATGTTACATATCTTTTTATCCTTTAAATGTCAGACAAA